CAGTTGATTTAACCATTACAAAGACACAAGGATATCATCAGAATTATGGCTAACAAATGGAAAGCTAGTAACATCATTGAAATAAGCAAAGTGACATTCCATAATGCAATTTGCAAAAGGTTAAGTTGATCCACCAAGAAAAGCTAGATCTTAGCAAATACTGTTTTTCCCTGTAGCAATTTCCCAGTATCTTTACATATCAATCGGTAACTTGTCTGTCCTTGAGTGAGCAACCTTGCTGTGTTACAATTCTATATCTTGCAACAGAGACTTTAGCCTGCAGAAAGTTTCCTGTCTTCTGCAAGCTTAATATTTCTATACATACTTTTAAGAAGTTAGGCTAACCCTGAAACTACAGGGATCTAGGCCTTGTGAAATATATTTCCTTTATGAATGTAAGTATACTCCACATCACATTACTAGTAAATGGTGAGAATAAGATTCTAGCATAGAACCATCTCTCCAAAGCCCATTATCACGAATATGTGATAACTATGGTTCTGTACTATCTTCCCTGAAATGTAGATGTAAAACATGACTTCATCAAATATTGCCAGTTAATCAAGTTTTATTGTAGAATACTATAGAGACACTTGTGAAATGATGCTCAGATGTATTTTTATCATTATAGTCTCAGTTGTGTATTGTGTCATGGCTACTCTTTGGATCTAATTACATCTTGGTTTTATGCTAAGGTGGAAGGATATCTGTGCTTCCCATTTTTGTTAGGTTGGAGCTGGCATCACTCAGGAAGGCAGCAAAAGTACCTCTCCTAAGGTTTTATGTATCTCCTCTTCTGAGTAGTCTCAGAGTGCCCAAGTAAAACTGCTCATTGGCCTTGGTAGCTAATTTCTATTTTGTGTGATTAAAGTTATTAGGTATTAAATAAGATGTCACATTATATGAATGTTTAAGATGATGTACACGAACAACTCTGTGTCCTAACTCATTTTTAAAAAAAATATGGTTATAAGATGGCTGTTTAGCTGAGCTGGTTAGAGTGCATCCTTGTCACATCAAAGTCAAGGGTTTCATTCCCAATACTGGACAGCCACCAAAAAAAAAAAAAAAAGAATGGTTAGACTGGAGAGGGAAAGATAAAGAAGAGGGCAGGAAGTAAAGTCATAGAGATATGATACAAGAAATGTGACCAGAAATAGTATAGCCACTTTGGAAAAATAATCTGTCCATTTCTCAAACAGATATGTGCCCCAGCAATTTCATTTATTAGTATATATGCATAACATCAAAATGTGTAAACAACTGAAATATCCATCAACTGATGAATGGGTTAATCAAATGTGGCATATTTATACATGGAGTACTATTCACCCATAAAAAGGAATGAGGTATTGTTACATGCAACAACATAGATGAACCTGAAAATATTATACTAATGGAAAGAAGACAGTCTCAAGAGACCGCATATTGTATGATTTCATATATTCGAAATGTCCAGAATAGGCAAAACCATGTAGGTAGAGAATAGATTAGTGATAGCTAAGGGCTGAAAGGAGGGGGGAATAGGGACTGTCTGCTATCGGGTATGGGATTTTTTTTGGGGGGGGTGAAGAAAATGTTCTGAAAATAGTGGTAATAGTTATATGAGCTTGTGAATATCCTGAAAACCCACTGAATTGTACACTTTAAAAGGGTGAGTATTATGATACATGAATTATATCTCAACTTATAAAAGGAAATATGATCAGAGATTGCTTATATTTGTAAAGATCTCATTGAAATGTATATCAATGTATTGAATATATATGTGTATAGTTGAAATATAAACACTTTGAATTTCAAAAATAGTTAAATATATTATTAAAAACCTTGTGGTATCTGTCCTTCAACTAAATGGTTTGTGTACTATGGAAAAATAGGTGGACACATTTTGTATTTAAAAACATCTCTCTCTCTGAAAACACACACACATACTCACATACACACAAAATACCATTTTTAGTAAATTGCAGCAATCATAAATATTTACCTCTAAATAATTTAGTGTATATTTTCAAAGACCAAGAATAGCCTCTAACATAACCACAGTACAATTAGCAAACCCAGGAAATTTAACATTGATATAATGTTAATATCTAAAATCCAGTCCATATTCAAAGTTTAACAATTGTCATAATACCTTTCTTTAAAAGAGGAATTTGTAGGCTGACCAGTTAGTTCAGTTGGTAGAGCACAGCCTTGTAACAACAAAGTCATGTGTCTGCATCCCAGTATGAGCCAGCTACCAAAAATAAATATACAAATAAAATAGGAACTTGTCTTTCCCAAGCCAGTATCATACATTGCATTTAGTTGTTGGGTCATTTTAGTTCCTTTTAATCTGAAAGAGTTCCTTAGCCTTTTTTGTTGTTGTTGTTTTGTTTTGTTTGTTTTTCGATTTTTTTTTAAATGACATTGATGTTTATAAAGAGTGCAGGACTATTGTATTTTGAGTTCCTCCATTTGGGTTTATCTGATAGTTTCCTCATGTCTCCTTATGGTGATTCAGATTATGCATTTTTTGCAGAATATTACTACTTGTATTAGTTTCCAAGGGTTACTGTAACAAATTACCAAAAACTTGATGATTTAAAATAACATAAATTTATTTTCTCACATTTCCGAAGGCCAGAAGTCAAGATATCAGCAGTCTACACTTTCCAAAGGCTCTAGGGGAGAATTATTTCTTCCTTCTTCCAGCTTCTAGTGGCACCAATGTTCATTATCTTGTGGCAGCATACCTCTAATCTTTGTCTCTTTTTTCATGTGGATTTCTTTTCTCTCCTGTGTTTCTCCTCTTTTGTGGGGGCATTTATTGGATTTAGGGCTCATCTGGTTGATCCAGGACCTCTTGTCTCAAGATCATTAACTTAATTACATCTGCAAAGACCCTGTTTCTAAATAAGGTTGCGGTCATTGGTACAGGGGTTAGGATTAGGACATGTCTTTTTAGATCCACAATTCAACCCACAAAATCACCTAGATGACATTGTGTCCTCCTCAAAGGATAAGATGAGAATGTTCCCAATATGGAAAGAGCTAGAAAATATTTTTCTTGTAAAAAAAAAATTATAAATTCTACTGATACTTTAATTCAAGTATTACAGTTTTTTTCTTGCCTTCTCACATTCCATGTTTGTATCTTTCTTCTCATCGAGCCTGGTGATAGCTGGTTATCCAGCACAGAATTTCAGTTCAACTTTAAGTTTACCTAAAGAACATACTACTCTAAATGTAAATTTAAATGTTAGTCTAAAGAGGTACAGCTCTTTAGATACAGGACGCAACCCCTTATAGAGAGTAGACTGCCAATTATCCACTGTTGGCCTAAAAGCAGCCACAAATTAAGAAAGTGTTCAAGCTCAACACTATTATTTATTTAATCAATACTGTAATATACATAAAATAGTTTTAAAATTGCTACACCTATATCATTACCAAAAACAAACTTGCCATTTAAGGTTCAAGATCTTTTCTTAGTTCTTTCTGTCTTTGAAATTATGTGACCAAATTCCAAAGCTACTTGGATTAATTCTCACTCGCTTCAACTCCCCCTCCCAGTGTGGTTATGTTACGTACTTAATATACTATTCAGTTAATTTGTTTCTGTTTCCATTCAATTTTAAGGTTTTTTTTCCTTCATTCTTGTTGGTTTAATTTTGTTTATTTATCGAATAGTAACACTTTAACATGATTCTAAAAGTGCAAACTATATAGAAAGGATACTTAGAAAGGTCACTCCCTGCCTTGTCCGTTCTGCCTTGTTTCTCCCACCTCCTATAGATAACCAGTATCATTAATTTCTGCTTTACCCTTCCTCTGTTTCCTTTTGTAAATATAAGCAGATACTTGTATATTTTATTTTGTTTTCTTTCATGTAGAAGGTGATATAGTATATATAAGAAGTCTCAACTGTAGATGATTTTGTCCCCCAGGGGACATAAGCAGTATCTGGAGACAATTTGTTTGGTCACCACTGGAGGGGGTGCTACTGACATCTAGTGGATAGAGACCAAGTATACTGTTAAACATCCTACCATACACAGGATAGCCTTGACAACGAAGGATTACCTGGTTTAATATGTCAATAGCACTGCTGTTGAGAAACCCTGGTATATGTCTATGTTTGCACTTTGCTTTTCAGCTTAACAATATGTTATGGAAATCACTTTATCAGCTCATACAGATTTTCCTCATTCTTTTTTGTAGCTGCATAGTGGATTTACTGTAGTTTATTCAATCAGTCTCCTCTGTATGGGCATTTAAGTTGTTTTTCAATATTTCGCTACTACAAATAATGCTGTAACCCTAAGCATTTTTTCTTTTTGGTATTTCTAGAAGTATATCTTCAGAGCAAATTCCTAGAAGTGGGTCCAAGAACAAATGATATGTTGGTTTGCCAAATCCCTTCCAACAGGGATATACCATTTTCACCACAGTTTGAGAGCCCCTATTTCTCCATAGGCCTGCCAGTCTATGAGTTGTCAAACTGTTGAATTTTTGCCAATCTGATAAGAAACTCAACATAGTTTTAATTTTAATTTTTCTTATTATGAATGGCATTTTTTTTTTAGTTTTGTTTATTCACGTTGCTGGATCAAACCCCCAAATTTTACAATATTTAACCCAATAATTTTAGCTGAAGTAGAGAAGCAATCTTTATCAAAAACAATGAAACAAAGTATATGAGAAATCTTCAAAAGTTCATGGAAAGATTTATACTATAATTCTATATTTCCACAATTTTTTCGAAGTACCCTGTTATATTTCTCTGCTGAAAGTGTCAAATAATTTCTTGTAGAAGATTTTCTTGTGTTATGTCTCAATATGTTTTTACATAAACTTAATAGGGTGTTTTTCTGCAGTTCCTATAAGTTAAATATAATCCTAGAAATGTAGTGTTTAAAGTCTGCTCTAATGTTTTCAGGCCACCTGGATGTCACAGTGAGTAAACTAAAATGATTTTGCAGTAATATTGTTCTGTGCTTGTTGTTTTCCAGGCCATATATGTCTCTTGGAAGTCTTCGGGATCAAGTCATTTATCCCGATTCAGTGGATGATATGCACGATAAAGGTTATACAGACCAAGATCTCAAAACTATTTTACACAATGTCCATCTCTTTCACATAGTTCAAAGAGAAGGAGGTAAATTCTATCATTCTTTTCTTTATGCATTTTACTCCATTTAAAAAAATAAATAGGTCTATATTTAGTCTGTGGCTTGATTTGAATATATGCTATTATTAGCACATAAGCATAAAGATGGAGTTTTATTGCTTTTCCATTATTAACATCCCCTTTTCTGCTTGTGTCATGATTAATGCAGCACCCTAGGCTTTTATTGAGTCTCCATGTCACTGCAGCTAGCATTTAAAAACAATTTTTTCCTTATGTATTTGAATGTACAAGTGTCCCTGAGGCCATTGTCAATCTAGATTTATGTAAAGTCTATGACAGAAATATTCGCCTGCCAAGCTCTGAGCTTATATTAAAGTTAGTAACTTAAGAAGCTGGTATCACAGAGTTTCTTTTTTGTTTTCAGACCTACAATCTTTCTAATACATTTTTTTCTCTCTCAGGTAGCACATAGAGAGTTAAAGTATAGAAACTTCTATATTGTGGTTTTTCAGCATAAGATCTTTTGGAAAGAGTAGGAATAACATTTATGGAAATAAGCTTTAAAAATATCATCTAATAGTCACACTTTCAAATAACTTGATAACATATAATTTGAAAGCCCAGAAAAGCTACTAAAATACTCACAAAATAAATATAAATATTTTTTTTAAAAAAAAGAAAGAAAAACTACTGAAATAACAAGGCAGAACTCCAGGTTTAATTTGGCAAGGATTTTATGTTCTATTTCACAGCCTGTTTACATTATTCAAAGAAGCAGGGTAATACAGTGATTGAGAATATGGGCTTTGAACTCAGAGAGTTCTGGAATCAAATCTTAGCACTGCTTTCTGTATTTTCAACTGTAAAATGGGGATAAATATCTACCTTATAAGGTTTTGGTTTTATTTAAAAGATTAAATAAGACCATACATAAGACATTTAGCACAGTGGAACAGGAATGCACAGGATTAGTAGCTAGTGGTAATATTAGTTTGTAATATGATTACTATATTTTGTCTTTGTGTGATGGTACTTACATTTTACATAGCAATTTCACATATATTATTTAATTTGATCTTTACAATAAGCAGATGAGGCAGACAAGAGAGATATTATTACATTCATTTTTATGGTGTGTGTAATTTCTACCATATAGGGAAAGCAGGTTGTTTTCTTGTTTCATGTGATCAGCTTTTCCAATTTCAGAACACTGTGGCTGAGTAAATGCTCCATGTTTATCATGGGCAAGTTATGTTGAGTAAGTTTAAAATCCAATGATCCAAATAGAAATTTATAATAAACATAGAATATTCTATTATTTTAGAAGTCATCAAGATGGCCTAGAACTGTTTTTACGAATGCTTCAACCATAGTAATTGTTACGGTGTTTATGCAAAATATATCATCTTATTTAATATTCATAATAATTCAATGCTGTAGATTTTGCATCGCCATTTTACAGAGTAAATTCAGAAGTTTAGTAAATTACCTAGTGTAAGTGGTGCAACAAAGATTCAAACACAGATCTGACTTGAAAGTCAATGATCTGTGCTAGAATATGCCACTGTGCTATGCTCCTTCTAACTTTTTAGACACCAATAAGAACTATTACATCCTTACACATAAAAAAAATTCCAAGAAAAACCTGTTTTGCTTGCTTGATCCTTAAGCATGAAACATTACATTTGCAAGTACATCACTTACTTTGGAAGAAGCCTACTCAAGTTCTATTTAGACTAGCTAATCCTTTGCTTAGTAAGAGATGGAATTAAGAACTACATTTTATTCTATCAAACAAGTTACAAAATAGGAAAGAGTAGAAGGGTAAACTAATGGATTTTGTAGGAAGCAGGAAAATCATTCTTTTCATAGCTGGCTTGGTCTGACTAAATCACATCAGAGGCAATATTATGACTCAGTGTTCTGATTACGTGTTCTGTGATCATGAAATATTATCTACAAAATCCTCCGGGTTTAGTAGAACAAAAAACATGATTTATTTCAATATGTAAATGTTAAAGTTTCCTTTGACCCAGATACTTTTCTCTTGTGCCTTTTTCTCAGTGGGCATGGAAAAAATAATTTTTAAGTCCAGAATATTTCTTCACTGTGTAGCAATCTGAATCAATTTCTAAATCATCACTTATATTTCATAAATGCCATAAAATTCAGTCATAGGGAAAGTTTTATTTCAATAGTTTTCCCTAGAAGCAAGAACTTTAAATCAAATGGCATTTTAAGATATTTTTTCCCCTAATATAAAATTATATGTATATGTTCTTAAACAGATAGACAATTTCTGGAAGTTTACTCAAGAAAATGAACAGTGGTTCCCTTTGGAGTGTGGAATCAAAGGTGTCATTGGCAAATAGGGAAAGCTTTCTTTTCACTCTAGATAGTTCTGTATTGACAATTTGTAATGTATTGATAATATTTAATATATTGTGTTACTTTTATTGTAATTTTTTGCATATTTAATTTTTGGAACAGGTAACTTTCATATAATTCAAAAGTTACAAAGTTTTTAAAAATGTACTGTGAAAAAATTCTGTTCCTGTTCCCTCCCATCCAGTTATCACCTATAGGTAACCACTGTTTTGGGTTTCTTTTTTACACTTTTAGACTTTTTTTTAATGTAATGTACTTTGTAATGATAATTTTAAGAGGAAGAAGATAAGAAACATAAGATGCATTTTATGTCTAACAGTTAACATAAATTATTCTGTCAAAGGCTCTGAACTTTTTAATGTCAAAAGGAAAGTCCATGTTTTCCTTCTGACCAGCAAACGTGTCAAATAATCATTTTAACAATTTGACTTTTTGGATAGCCAGTGCACACAGGCAATGAAGACTGCACTTCCAATTCCTTTCCCTTTGACCAAGTTTATTTAGAAGCCTTACTAATGGTGAAAATTCAGCTGAGGAGGAAAACAAAAACAGAGCAAAGAGCCTGGACTTTTTCCAAATGGGAGAGCTAAGTGCTAAACAATTAAGATTTGGAAATGTTGCCCTAAATATGTATTAAATTATGACAGTCATTTTCTTCCTTGAAAATCAGATTCTCCAGGAGAGGAACCATGGTTTTGTCATTGTGATCTTTTAAAAATTTAATTAAAAAATTAAGATAGGCTTATTATAAAAATTTCATATATTATAAAAATGTATAACTTAGAAAGTAAAAGTCTCATAATTCCACTCTTGGAGATGTGTATATGCCTGTGTGGTGTGTGTATGTATGTATGTGTTTATTTACAAAAGTGCAATCATGATATATACAATTCTGCAACTTGGATTTTCATATAAAAATATTCTGGACACATTTCTATATCATTATGTATAGATATAACCTATTTTAAAAAAACAGAGACTTGCTTTTTGAATGAATATCAAATAGAATATCAAATAGTTAAGATGCTGGAAGAGAGAGCATGCACAGATAAACTGTAAAAGCATCAGATAGACCTAAATATAAATCCTGATTCTGATATCTAACTGTGTAAACTTAGACATGTCAATTACCGCATGAGTTTCGGGTTATTCACTTCTAAAATACAAATAATAAAACCTATCTCATAAGACTGTGGAGTATATAATGAGAAAACTCACATACAGTGCCAGGCATGTGGAAGCTATTTTTTTTTTAAAGAAAATGTAATTTCATTAGAATTATTTTTTTACATTCTAGGATGTTGTTGCAGAGTATTTGGGAGGGAGGGGGAGAGAGGAAAGGGAAAGGAAATGTGATGGAAGAAGGAGGAAGGAGGAGGAGCGGGGTTAAGGCCTGTGGCACCCTCCTCATTCCCACAAGGGAGACCAGGGGACTTCCAGGAGTGGCTTGGTCCTTGCTGGGCTGGGTGCAGACATCAGGGGGGTGTGGCATAAGCCCTTGTCCCCCCACCACCCCAGCTTGGGAACCCAAGGTGCTTCCTGAGGCAGCTTGGTGGTCACCTCTGGGCTGGCTGCAGGTGTTGGGAGGCATGGCCAAGGCCCACCACTTTCCTGGCTCGGGAGAGTCCGGGACACTTCCTGCAAAGGCTGGTTGGTCGCTGTTGGGCTGGTTGCACATGTCGGGGGTCATGGCCAAGGCCCGAGGCCCCCCACCACCCTGGCTCAGGAGAGCCCATGATGTGGAACGTATTTATAGTAGTTCCTCTCTTTCCCTTTGCAGTCTTAGTAACTGACCTGTGCAAATTTGTTGATCTTTTCTTTGACCTTTCTCCAAAATAAGTATAAGCCTACCAACCCTTTGGAGATACTGAGAAACAAACAAAATTTTTAAAGAGTCAGTGTTTAGAATTCATATAAGATGATTTGTTAGTATAAATAATTATTACCATTAAAAGAATATCAAATCTAAAACAAAATGCTTATACATGAGGCTCTCTAGTTCACCCAAGCATACAAGTATGTTCTGTAAAATACCAGGTTCTTCATTTTAACAAATTGAACTTGCCAGGAATCACTTGTCCAAGGTAGAAATGGCAATAATTAAACAAATGATTTATAAAATATGTATCTTTTTTTTTTAAAGGATGGGATGCTGTTATGGACTGGAAAGATGTCCTATCAGGAGGGGAAAAGCAAAGAATGGGCATGGCTCGTATGTTTTATCATAAGTAAGTATGCTACATTCAGGTAACTACATTCCATTGTCATAACCAAAAAAACATTTGGACAGAACTCAGTGTCCTCATTTTTAGTTTAAAAAATATCTTTTTTTTTTTTTTTGTCTTTTTTCCGTGTCCGGCAACGGATCGCAACCCTCAGTGTTGCCCCCGTACCGGACCGGGGACCGGCAACGGGATCGCAACCCTCGGTGTTGCTCCCGCACCTCGCCCAGCCAGTGAGCGGGAACCGGTCTGTATGTGGGATCCGAACCCTCGGGCGGGAGCGCCGCTGCGCTTCCCAAGCGGCGCACTATCCAGTGCGCCACCGGGCCGGCCCCTAAAAAAATATCTTACTGAAAAACTGAGCTTACATTTTTTAAAGTTTCGTAAATTATTTTTTCTCATAGCATAATCTCCAAGTGGTTTGTTTTCTTTCTTTCTTTTATGTTGAGTAATGTTAAATGAAATAATATACAAGAAGACTAAATTAGATTTTTATGTATCCTAAAGTTAAAAATAGGATTTTTATTAATTATAAAATGTGAAGAATTCATAGCCACTACTATACTGGTGTAAATCTGGTAGATAGGTATTCGATAATACTTCTGAATTAAATTATTAAATTCAAACTAAATCAATTTGTTAACCATTCAGTAACCTATTAAATCATAGTGTTCTCCCCCTTGAAAACCAGAGGTATATCCAGTGGAAAAAGGAACCAGCCCACATAAGTCTTAATGGACTCAGAAAAATTGAGATGCAGGAAATATTTTCTTTTTTTAAAGCTTTTCTCTTTGCCACCAGCTTCATAGCTTTTTGAGTTTAAGGATACCGAGCACAAGACATGGGAAGGTAGTATTAAAGCCATTCTGATTTGTTCTATTATTTGCCCTATTCTTCTCTGAAAAAGACGTATCTCTCTCTTTTTTTTTTGACTTAGGTTTCTGGCAATGAGGATCTTGTGTTGTGCAGAGCAGGAGATTATCAGGAACTATGTTACTCATTTTTAGTATTCAAATCCTGGGCAAAAAATGACCAAGAGTTAAGCCCCTGAATGCATGAATGGGCCGTAAGTTGGGGCAGATGCAACACTCTATACTCTTGTATGAGTTGCAATGGAAGCAGTAACTCTTTTATGAAGAACTTTAAAAAGCCAATAAAGAGAGCAAAAAATATATAAAGTACACCTCATTGAACACTTAGCAACCAGTTGGCTCATAGTTAGCAACCAAATGGCTGTCAACTTTTTAAATAAATCTTTAACTATAGAAAAAATATAAAAAATTCATCAAAAAAGAGAAATTGTAAAATGAACCCCATATTTCCTATCATAATGATTCAACAAGTGCAACATTTTGTCACACTTGACTTATCTACTCCTTTTTTATTTCTGAAATATTTTAAAGCAAAACAAAGGGAAAGAAAATGGGAAGTGCAGTCTTCATTGTTATATGTGCACTGGGAATCTGAAAAGTCAAATTGTCAGAATGATTATTTGATTCTTTTGCTGGTCAGAAAATAGGAAATTTCCTTTGGCATTAAAAAGTTCAGAGCCCTTGACAGGATAATTTATGTTAAATGTTAAGCATATATGCATCTTTATATTTCTAATGTTTTATTTAGTTATATCGGTATTGAATTCCAGCTATTGCTTTATTGCTTGATATATTTAAGTACACACACACACACACACACACACATACCCATACCAGACCTTCCAAGGAAACAAAAGAGTGTGATATTTTACATCTATTTTGCATCTGCTAGACTAGGGGTTGCTATGACAACCGAGTGTAAGATATGCACTTTTTTCTAATTCTAAAATGCCACCTTTTCTCCGTTTAGCTCAAAGCACTCTGAAATATAACAAAATATAGTCAGTTACTAGAAAGACTTTTGCACAAAGAGAAAATTTTGCCCAAACCTTTCTCTTTTAAACTTCCTTTTCTTAAAAAAAATCCACAAAACAGTAATCGACTGAGACAAAAAAAATAATGCTTAATACTTAAACCAGAACAGTAACCAAAAGCCAACCAGCAAAACTACTTCCATTGATGTTGTCATGGGGAACACACAGTGATCTTTGAGTTCTTTGCACAGGGAGCAGTTTTAGAATCAAATGGAGTGTTAAAGTTGCCTTTGACTCCTCTGTTTATTAGCCTGACTAACCATTCTGAAATAGGTAACAGGATTCTATTAATAAGCAAATCTGTCTTAGAAAAGTAGCTTACAGTGCTAAATAATTATTTATGCTGAATGAGAAATTACTGATTTCAGTTTTTAAAAATTTTCTTGTCATTTATTTTTAAAGATCAGAATATCTTCATGAAGGGAATTGTCCTGGTAAATACTTGATACTGATTTTCAACCCTGAAATGAATAGTGAATGACAATGGAGGAGTTAACTTTGGTCTCATGAACCAAGCTAAGTCATGTTGCTCTGTACAAATATGTACCTAAAGTCCAGACTGTCTTGGAAGAAGGAAAGGACAAAGAAAGATAAGAGCAGGGGGGCGCAACGGAATAGAGAAGGGATAAACAGAGGGAAACAGTGGTAAGTGATAGGGTACCTTTGATAGAAGACACTCATTACCAAAGTAAAAACGACCTAGAAAAAAAAATCATTGAATGTAATCAAAAAAATATTTACTGATTTCTTCCCCCTAGAATTTGATTCTGGAGCATGGTTGCAATATGATGAGGTTAAATATCTACTCTAAGATTTTCAGATTAGGTACATTCACTCTTGCAGAGTCTTGTGGCAATGAAGTTCCATTAGTAATGCTTAGGTATTCACATTGCTGATAAAATAATCTTCTCATTAAATCTTTGCTAACAGGGCTGCGGCCTGTTTGATAATTAGCTGCTGTAGTGTATTCTTCATGTAATGAGTCAGACCCTTGTCACCAAGAATGAAGCTGTCTTCCACAAGAAAACACACTCAATGACCTTTCTCATCTTTCCTACGCCTCATATTTATGATTCAGTCATCTGCATAACAATAAAGCTTATTGTATTTTGAGCAGGTATTAGAAGATCTATTTAAATTTAAGAAGAATGTGATATCCTTGTCCAACGAGGGGGATAACTGCATTTTTCTTTATCACTTATCTTTAATAATGTCATTCTCTTGATCTTTTAAAAGTGTCATCATTGCAACTCATATTGTGCAAAGAACGATTTATAATTCAAATAGAAAAATCATTAATTTATTTCTGTTTATTTTTTTAAAGACCAAGATATGCATTGCTGGATGAATGTACCAGTGCTGTCAGCATTGATGTTGAAGGAAAGATATTTCAGGCCGCGAAAGGGGCTGGAATATCTCTACTGTCAATAACACACAGGCCTTCTCTTTGGTAAGTGTTTTTGATGCTAACTAATTTGTGATAGGTGGGTTTTTCTATGTATGTTAAAGAATAACTTTGCCAAACTTTTTACTATAGGGTATAGGGCATATCACTTATTTTCTGTCTGTATTTCTCCTAAGTTTCACACTAGTTGTTTAGATACACCTAACCTAATATCATAACTTAACTGTGTTTTTTTTTAATTGAGGCATTAATTGATGACATATATTTCTGGGGTATAGAGTTGCATATCAATACCTGTGTGCAGTGTGTGATGATCAAATCAGGATAATTAGCATGTTCATCCTCACAAAATGTAATCATTTCTTTGTGTTGACATTCGATCTCCTCTATTCTTAATTTTAATGTGTGATTTAGAAATTATCATCACTTCCCAGTAATTCTGCAAAGATGTAGAAAAATCCAGTGATTTATATGACTGAAAATATTTATCATAATCCTATAGTAAGTACTGGGAAAGAATATATTTATATATTTTATATTACTCTTTTAATCCTTTCTTAAAGTCCAGGAAAATAAAATCCAGAGAAAAAAATATACCACAACTTGATATTCCCTCATATATTTAAGTAGGAGAAAACACAGGGAAAAAAACCTTATTTTTGTTTTGTTTTAAGTAAAAATGAGCTAAAATTTTTATTAAGTAATATCTCATAAAACCTAAAGGGATTTTCTCTTTTAAAAAAATTATGATACTATTTTTATGATTCCCTTACTTTTCCATTGATTTATCATAATAGTAGTTACTAATGAATATTTAGCACCTATTCAGTTCCAGGCTCATTTTATGTAAGCCTCACAACAACCCTATGGAGTATAGGTAGTAGAACTTTCCCATTTTACAGGTGAAAAAACTGAGAACTAGAAAAGTGAGAAAAATAACTTCCATGATCACACACACTGTTCTACAGTACACTGCTCTACTTATTATAAGGAACTCAAAATGTGTCTCATACATAAACAAGAAAAACACTTTTTATTCTTACTACATTCTACTTTCTCTACTTTTGCAGTATTTCATCAATAAAAATATTTTCTTTTCACATATTAGTAACTATAGTTGACTCTATATGCTTGGCCTCATATTTCCCAAAGTACTACACAGGACTTCTGTCTATCTAGCTGCAGCATTCTGTTGGCAGGTGGCCGATCACATTCCATGCCAAGGCTGTCATCACATATGCGGCTGCAAACCTAGACTAGTAGCAAGCTTTATTTGAGTTAATCCTTGAAGCTTTCTAGACCTTCCACCTTATTATATTAAAATTGTGAGCAATTGAGTATGTAGTTCACATCAGGCTTTTATTGTTCAAAGTTCTTTGACTCTGAATTCCATTTCTATAGAGAAAATAATAATCTATTCTTACACTCAATTTAAACATTCAGATTTTTCAGAATATTTTCCCCTCTTGGAGAGTGGACCTGAAAATAGAGCATTTCACAAAGTAATCCTACTTATGGAAATCTGTGGTTTGTCTCTGTCATTAAGAATTAAGTGGCATCTGGAGTGATAGGACCCTGATTCACTAGTGTCTACAGAAGCAGTCTGGATCTAGTCCAGCATGAGAGAGAGTCATGTCAATGGGTGGGATTCCTCTGACTTTTCCTTGGAGAAGACCAACAGGACCTGCATTTTTAAGACAATTATGACATTTGCCTGTAAATCGTCTGAATCAGGGATTACACAGAGCCAGGCCAGAACTCTTGAGCCCTTTTTGGCATGGACCTGTTATTTCCATTCGTGCTTCCAAACTGATCACGTGTTGAGATAACGTGAAGTTCTCTCTTAGTCCTGGTGTTTTTCTGACCACTAGCAATGGATTTATTACACTCTCCTGTCATTCAGTTTCTTATTCAAGTAGCCCAAAGAGGCATTGGAAGCATATCTAGCCATTGTTTTCTCAATTAAAGGAATAACTAGTTTTTAAAGCAAGTAACAAAATCTGTAATGTATGTCTTTTAACAAGAATAGTGTATTTTAAAATGCAGTTATCCACAGTACATTTCTCCATAAAACTAAACATCATGTATCATGTTAGTGCTGCTTTGTGAACTAGTTTAGTCATTTTAGGTTGTAGAAATTTGTCATTTCTAGTTATCTTTTCCTCAGGGAAAGTGAAATTTTTCTTATCCCTGAAAAGATTCCAGAAGTAGGAAAATATGTATTATATTTCCCCCATAACAACAAATGAGTAATCGTTGACTGTAAAGATTGAAACAGATACCAGTATCTAAAGAAGTAAAAAATTAATAAAATATTATTAAATTATTTGATTCCTGGATATAATTATAGCTGTATAATTACCACTTTCTTATGCTTTATCCTACTTGTGAAGAAAGTCTACAGATTTTCTTCAATGAGTCTGTTAAAGTTTGTTTTAAATTCTTCTGAGTAAGATAAACCCTGAAATATTATATTGGGTCATAAAATAAGGGTTCTTCAAAAAGTTTGTGAAAAAATTGAATTAAAAGGTAATATGAATCTTTTCATGAACTTTTAAAAGTATCCTCATATAGAACATGTCTTTGAATCTCAGGGCATGAAACACCTACATAATTTGTTCCTTCCATGTAGAAATCAAATAGTGTTGTACAACCAGAGTGATGAGCTAAATCTTCATTATACATTGAAGATGAAACTTTCTCAAGATATTAATGCCATATTTTAAAATTGTTCCAGGTTGTAAATCTAAGACTAGGAAAGCCCGAGAAAAGTTCAGAATGAAATAAACAAAATAAACTTTTTGCCATTATTTCTTTTTCTCATTGTATGGCCATCCTTCTTCTGTTTCTCCTTTACTTTTGTTTAAACTCTCTCTTTTTTTTTTTTTCCTTTTTTTGTGACCAGCAACGGGATCGCAACCCTCGGTGTTGCGCCTGCACCTCGCTCAGCCAGTGAGCGGCCGGTCTGTATGTGGGATCCGAACCCTCGGCGGGAGCGCTGCCGCGCTCCCAAGCGGCGCACTGTAGCAGTGCGCCACCGGGCCGGCCCCTTAAACTCTCATATTTTAATAATAGTTTTTCCACATTTTCCCACTTTGACATAGCAATAAATGTTTTCAATTTAATTTTGGTAAGGTCCGAACTGTTGGGAGATCAATTTTTGAAAGGCTCAAGAACCTAAAAGTGTATGGAAGAGATCATTAATCTCTGTTATATGTTACCAAATACATGAATTTAAACCTTCATCTTAACAGTGATTTTGCTTAGTTTCCCATTTTACATCATGTTAAAAACATCTCAGCAAAAGGGGGTGGAACCCAAATGTCCTTCAATTGATGAATAGATAAACAAAATGTGCAATACCATACAATAAAACATTATTCAGCCATAAAAACAGATGAAGTACTGATACATGCTACAATTGGGTGAACCTTGAAATCACTTTGATAAGTGAAAGAAGCCAGTCACAAAAGACTACAATATTGTATGATTTTATATATATGAAATATCCAAAATAGAAAAATCTATAGAGACAGAGAGGATATCACTGGTTGGGAGGGACTGGACGGAAGGAGAAATGGAAAGGGACTGCTGAAATGTTGTGGAATTAGATAGTGGTGATAGTTGCACGAGCTTGTGAATAAACTAAAAATCCTTTTTTTTTTTTTTTTTTAAAGATGACCGGTAAGGGGATCTTAACCCTTGACTTGGTGTTGTCAGCACCACGCTCAACCAGTGAGCTAACTGGCCATCCCTATATGGGACCCGAACCCGTGGCCTTGGTGTTATCAGCACCACACTCTCCCGAGTGAGCCACGGGCCGGCCCAAACTAAAAATCCTTAAATTTTACACTTTAAAGAATGAATTGATGGCATGGGAATTATATCTTGATTTTTAAAAAGAGAGATGGAAGTTCCTTGATAAAGGCCCACTGATTATAGTAAATAATGATAGATGGGAGCTTAAAAGGAAGCAACAAGTGAGAAACAGTATAAGGGAAAGACAGTAAAAGGAGACATAAGAATAGGGGCCAGTTCAGCAAAGTGACAAAATGCAAGTGACTGAGCCACACAGGACCAGCTCTGCCACATATTCCCCACAAATGCCAGAGACTGAGACCTCAGCCTCCCTTTAGGAAAAGATAAGATAGATTGTCTCCTATCTCACCAATAAAATAATCTGTACTGCTATGAAGTTCCTAATTATGAAGCTGAGCCATGAGAAAGGAAATTTAAATTATGAAGATGTAGAAACATCTTTAAAATATTTCTATCAAAGAGTTTGTTTTTAAAATTCATTACTGAGAAGTTTTTACTTACAGAGAAGAACTCATTCCCAAAGGATGATGTATTAATAAGTTGCTACTGTATTTCTTTAATTTTCTTAGTTTTTCTCTGTACAACCTTTAAAATTTTTGCTTTCTTTTCTTTAGCTTCCTCTCCTTACTTTCATTCTAAGTGTGCTTTTTTATTTATTCAGAAGCCATACCGGGTTATGAAGATAAATACATGTGACAGCATGTCTTACTTTGTAATTTATATACATTCAGAATATAAAATAAACTTAATATAATGAATAAGAATTTCCTAGAGATTAGATTAATGACTTTTGGATTTTTTTTAAAAAATCACAATATTTAACTTCTTGAGGTATCCTTGAAAATCAAACGTAGAATAGGCACCTTTACTTAAAATTTGCCTTTGAATATCCATTAGAATGATAAACCTATAACTAAAATGGCTTTTCACAATTATGGCTAATAATATTATTTCATTTTAATTATGCAGGAAATACCACACTCATTTATTACAGTTTGATGGTGAAGGAGGTTGGCGCTTTGAACAATTGGATACTGCTATCCGTTTAACATTGAGTGAAGAAAAACAAAAGCTAGAATCTCAGCTAGCTGGAATTCCCAAAATGCAGCAGAGACTCGATGAACTATGTAAAATTTTGGGAGAAGACTCAGTGCTGAAAACAATCAAAAATGAAGATGAGATATCCTAATTTGTTTTGACATGTTTTTAAAAATTATTTTTTAGGTAAAGGCTCAGAGGCACTCTGTTACAGTGCATGCAAGTGTGTTAAGCTAAGCACAGAGACAAAAAAAAAGGCAGTAAGAAATGTTTTATAAAATTTTAGCATCAGGGAAGTATATGATCTGATTTTTTCATAAGAAAATAAACAAATGCATTATGTAACATTAATCATTATGGCTTATTCTAATTCTTAGTGAAAGCCTAATTCACCTGTAAAACAGGATTTTCTAGGTGAATTCAGGATGAATACCAGATTTGCTATGTATGTGTATGTCTGAAGTTCTTAACAAACATGAGAGATGTCCCAGAAATGAAACAAGAGCAGCATTTGGGTTGATACCAGGTGCATAAATTAGAACTTCGAGTAACATTTCAGTCCATTTATGGTTGATATTAAGTTTAATAGCTAGAATTCCTGTTTGTCATTACTAGTGGCCAACTAAACTTGTATACAAAATAGCTGACAGTGTGATAAATAATTTCAATATAAAAAAATTCTTTTAATGGCAGTAGTTGAAAGAAAGCATAGCCATACATGAATGAAATGTCATATGTTTAAATTTTAGACTTTGAGTATCTTAATACAGGAACATAACAGATTAATTTTAATGAGATGCTTACATTTTTGTTAATAAACCCTTTTATTTTGAAGAGGATTGCCAATACAAAAAAGAAGTATCCAAACAATGTTTGTTGCAGCCTGTGCTTTACTTGACATCATTATCTATTGCAACTTCTGTCTGGAAATACACAGTTTGTTTTTGTGCCCAAAGGAGGAGTCCACATTTAAAAAATTACAGTAGTATAATAGAATATAGGGATTCTGAAAATCATAGTAATAATAACATACAGTGGAATGGTACTTTATAATTTACAATCTCCATTTACATAATTTCATTTTAATCCTTGTGATAATATTTTGAGACAGACATTATGTTTGCTTTTGAGAAAATTGACACTAGATATGCCCTAATCATGAAATTTATTTAGAGACCAATCTAGGGATCACATGAAGTTCTCCCGACTCCCTTATTCAGGTATATTTCTACTATTATCCTTTAAACCTAACTGGACTATAATATCAATAAAAGTTAGAGGAGATGTTGAAAAGAAAATAAATTTGGTAATGTTAATGTTATTGTTATTTAATCATTGTTTACAAGAAATGAAAACTAAATACAAAGTAGAAAGATTATTGGTTTGTGGTTTAAAATGAGCCAAGGCATTTAGCAAATCTTTCAGCTACTATGCACTCTTAGTCAATGTTAATATACCTCTAAAGCCTAAGCAACCAGAAGGGCAATTAATTATGTTTTAGGTAAATTTAATATTTATTGGACATATGAGAAATAATCTGCATGGCCTGGTCATATGAAATAGATCTTATCTATTTGTGTACCCTGGAGTTGGAAGTACAAAAGCCAGGACTGACACTTTAATCTATTGCTGCTGATGCCACCATTTTGATAGGCCAGAAAAAAATGGAATGATCAGTTGTTATTGGCTTAGGATTTTATTTGTGTATTTAGACACAGCTATTATATATGCTAAGTCAGTGATTCTTACTTTTTCAGGTGGTAGAGTACCTAGAAGTCATTCATAATGATTGTTGCAGAACATCATAGCATTTCCACATTTTCAATTCTGTCATGATAACTAGGACATTTTAAATTATCAATAAATGTAATTATCTTATATGAAGGAATGCAATATGAAATCATAATCAATATGTCTATTCAAGTTTTTCTGTTAGTATCATTAGCTACTCATTTATGTATTTGCCAGTTACTGCTACTTTCTGTTAGAAAAGTGAGGCAAAAATTACTATGGAACCAAAACTTAAACTTGATATTTAAAAAATCCTTTAATCTCGGGGCCGGCCCTGTGGCGCACTGCTACAGTGCACCGCCGAGGGTTCGGATCCCACATACAGACCGGTTCCCACTCACTGGCTGAGCGAGGTGCGGGCGTGACACTGAGGGTTGCAATCCGTTGACGGACACGAAAAAAAACAAAAAGGAAAAAAAATCCTTTAATCTCGGGGCCGGCCCTGTGGCGCACTGCTACAGTGCACCGCCGAGGGTTCGGATCCCACATACAGACCGGTTCCCACTCACTGGCTGAGCGAGGTGCGGGCGTGACACTGAGGGTTGCAATCCGTTGACGGACACGAAAAAAAACAAAAAGGAAAAAAAAATCCTTTAATCTTAACTTCTATATTAGCAGTTATCCAGTTTATATGTTGTAAGAAGGAAATTCTGAGACATGTATCTTTTAAAGGTTCAGGAAGAAAGTGAAAAGGCCTCATTTGAAATATGTGCATAATTTTCATAATTTAAAAATCAAAACATTTAGGACCTAATATCTTGTGTTTTAAAACTTCGAAAAGAATCCCAAAACAAATGTTAGATTTGTAGTTAGTCCTTATTTAATATATCCTTCCAATGAGTTGAAGTAAAAAAGACTTATTTATAATGTACAGGATTCAAATATGTCTAAAATTTCTGTGTTAAAAACTCTACACACTGCAGTATAAATGTTAAAGTTCTAAGATGAATATGTTTTCCATGAACTTTTTTGTGCCTATTTATTTTCTGAATTTTTTTCTGCGATCAATATCCTCTAACTTGGAGGGGAAAAAAATCCATGATTTGAATGAATATTTATGTACCATTCAGCTGTTTCCAAAATGGTCCTGTAGGTATACCATATATTATTGTTCTTGTAGTTATATTTTATGAAAAACATGAAAAAGATTGAGAAAATAAATAGCCATCTTTTTTTTTTTTTCCCTTTTTGTCTTTTTTCATGTCCGGCAACGGATCGCAACCCTCAGTGTCGCGCCCATACCGGACCGGGACCGGCGACGGGATCGCAACCCTCGGTGTTGCTCCCACACCTTGCTCAGCCAGTGAGCGGGAACCGGTCTGTATGTGGGATCCGAACCCTCGGCGGGAGCGCCACCGCGCTCCCAAGCGGCGCACTGTAGCAGTGCGCCACCGGGCCGGCCCTAGCCATCTTTGAATATAGCAAGGAATAGATGAAAAAGAAAAAAGAACGGATATTTCAATTTTCAAACTACTTTTACCACGGCTTCCTTTTTTGTTATTTTTTTGTTAAACCTATATGTTTATGGAGCTTGATTTTAAAATGTGCATTTTGGAGATTAAGTCAAATCAACTGCATTCTATGAAAATGTTGCATTATATTTCTACAGTATGTAGTATTATGCCAAGCATGAGTCTAGAATAGTGTGCATTCTTGTAAACAGGAAATCTGTAAAAATCCCTCTAAAATAATCTCAAGGAGAATAATATATCTTGAAACTCAACCCAAGTTTACATTTGTTTACAGTGGGAATGGTTTTCCCTTGTTAGTGATTTGGTTTTTGTCTCAATTTTTGGTCTGTTAGTAAAGGTATAAATGAATGTGTTAGTTTTTATTAGAGACATTGGTTCCAAGTATAATTTCATATTTTGGCAATTGGCTTAGCCTATTACAATGTTTGTAATAGTTGTTTGATTCCACAACTCTAGAAAAATCTATTACACATTGGAACCCAAATCCAAAGAACATTACATACTTCTGAGATGTGCATAAAAATAGTAAAGGTCATTAAATTATTAATTTAAAGAGATGCCTTCGATATAATTACTTTATGAACAAAAATTATCCTCATTTACAAGTGTAAGGTACTTTACATATATGACCCAGGTTATTTACAGTTTCGCCGATATACATTTTAGGTATGTTGAATGTGTTTTGGAGTTATACTTCTAATGTTTGCCACATGAGAGCTTTTAGGTGGATGTACAAAATATTTTTATTAAAAACAAATCTCTTCTTCATTGTTGGTGCATTTCCTGATTACCAAGTAAAGGGCTGCTTTACAGCTTTTTATTGTGAATTTTCTAAACCAATTGTCTACTTAGTGAGCTGGACTTGTGTTAATGGAAGTGAATGAGAAAAATGTCCTTAATAGTAAAAATCACTATGTAGCTGAAAGAATGTGGCTGTGTGCAAATACATTATCATATACTGTAGACCCTATCCAGCACACAGTTACTTGAGCTGAACATTCTTTGTGAATTCCTTAGTCATCATGAAAAACCTTGATTACTGAAAGGAATTAAAAATTATTCTAGCAGTTAAAAATGCCCTATGTACTTTAAATGACTATATTGGGTATCTACATCAGTCACAAATTGTATGATACAAAACCTTGTGTAGTACTATGCACAATAGTCATAGTTGCTTAAATATTAAATATTAATAGTTGCTTAAATATTAATTTTCTTTATTAATTCAACACTCTTATTAAGTACCAACCTAAGCCAGGCACTGTGCTAGGTTCTGGGAATAAATAAAATATGGTTCCTATCACAAAAAGCTTATGGTCCATTGAAAATTAAGAAAATGAGTACCCTCAGTTAGAAAAAAAATCAATAGCTACATTTATTATTTACCAGGTAGGTACAAAGCATTGCATATACATTGACTCATTAAATCTTCACAAAACTCTAATTTAATAAAAGAGGAAAGTGATGACAGAAAGGGTAATTCATCCAACCTCACATGGCACCCAAAGCTATACCACCGAAATCTGAACCTAGCAATATTTGATTACAAAGCCTGTACGACCCACATAACCTTCTTTGAATTAGTGTAGGCCATTATTCATTATACCTGTTTTTAACTGACGTTTTAAATATATATTTTAACTGACTCAAGGTTTTTAGTTAACCAAACAGATGAATTTTTTCATCTAAAAGGGTATTTATGTAACACAAATTGTATTTGTCATTGTTTATTATACATTATGAATGTGGTCTTGTGAGAGGAGGAAAACATAAGGCAAATGTTCAAATGTTTTAAGGAAGAATGTCCAAACCAATTATCATTCATTCAGTACTTACCGGCACATTCGAGGTGCCAGTTACTATGCTGAACAAGACAGACCTGGTCTCCACACTCATGAAGCATTTCAGTATATCAATATTAAGCAATTATATAGCTGTTAGATGTTGTGGTTCCATGTAAATGACATTTGTAGTATTTTCTCAAGTCTTGTGTTTTCTGCCTAAGGAACTCTGTTGTAACCTTTAAGTAACAGACATAGTCTGGCAGCAGGATTCTCTTGATTATACACTTCTAGGCTTGATAATTCTCAGGCCCTCCAACTTGGTCTAAATTACAGGGTTGAATTAAACCAGTCTGTAGGGACGATATCATCCTTCACCAGTAGGTGCTCCCATGCCTTTAATACATTGTCTTGAAACCTGAGAAAAGTCATCTTCTCAAGTTCACATCATGTAAAATGAGCCAGTTTTGTATATTCAAAAGTATGTCTCTCAGAGATGACCAGTTACTCAGCTGGTTGGAACATGATGCTGATAACACCAAGGTCCAGGGCTTGATCCCTGTACCAGCCAGCTGCCACAAAAAAAAAAAAAAAAAAAAAAAAAAAAAAAAAAAAAAAAATCAAAAAAAAAAAATCTGTTTCTCTTGGCAACACAAAACAGAGATAACCATAGCAGGAAAGTTCTAAAAAGTAAAAGAAAAATCAATAATTATAAAAGTTAATAAACAAGATTTCCAAAGTTAAACACATTTAAAGTGACATAGTCTGTCTCTGTAGTTGTGACCTGATGTAGATGATAACATGATTAAGTACCACCTTATGTGTTTTTGTGATTGAATCCTAAAAAAGTAGATTATGTAGCAATGAAGCAATGAAATATTGTTAGACACTAATATTGACTTGGCTATATCATTTAATTATAATTAGTTTAATCTATATAAAATAAGGGGCAATCTTATTTATCAAATACATTTCATTATTATGTATTGAATATATTAAACTTAAAATTAAAATATATTAGGTCTAGACTATATGCAAATGTATAAAACTAAAGAATTATCCCAGAACTTACATAAGGAAGAAGCAAAAGAGCTCTTGTAATCAAGTGAAATCTTATTAGGAAGCTGATACAATGGGACCTTTTCAACATGCACATGTTGATAATTCCAGAGTGACAAAGACTGATGAAGCAAATGTCAAAGTCCCCTTGTTTAGGCTAGCTTGTTGTTCAATACAGGATAAGTTTCCAAGATCCACATAGGGGTCTAGCTA